TACAACAGGTTTAGGGGCATAAAGAAACAAAAATTTATATTATTTTACAGTTTTTCAAGTTAGAAATCCTAAATCAGTTTCAGTGGGCCAAAATCCAGGGGTTGATGGAGTCACACTTCCTTGATGTGATCTGTTTGGAAATCATGCTAATAAGCTCTTTAAGACTGGCTGACCAGTTTCTGACACTAAATATTATGAATAAATCCATCCAAAGACCGGCTTGATTGGATTATTTGCAATCAGTAGATATTTACTGAGTAGCTATTTGCAGCCTCATCTTTGGACCTTAGTTTCCTTTTTTGAATAAAAGAGATGAGACTAGATACTAACTTCAAAAACAAACCTGTGGTTTTGTTAGCTTTGCAGTTCATCAAATTGGCACTGGCCTTTTAACTTTCAGCCACACATGCCCAGTTTCTGGACACACCTCCAAATACTGTCTCAAAGCCTCTGTCCACACTCAGTCACCAGATAACATCACTGTATAGTTTCTTTGAGTTCCTGGCCCCTTGCTGCAACTCTCTGGGTGCAGCAGTTCCAACAAGCCTCCAGTTCCCCAGCCCAGGCCTATGTAGAACAGAGGTTGTGGGCTATTAAGCGCCCTGTGAGACACAGCATAGAGCAGAAGTGGAAACGTGACTGATCTACCAAGTGTTGCAAAAATAACAGGATAAATTGGCACCTGTAGCTTCTACTAGGGAGAGAGGGTTGTGTAGGACAGACACCCGAGGATAGGACTGACCTCCGGATGGAAAGGAGACAGCAGGACCAGGCAGCCTATGGAAGGCCCTAGTAGAAAAGCATGTAGGTCAGCCCGCAAGCTCTGATTAAGTATCTACCATATACACAGTGTCTTATAGGTTTCTGTGGAGAATGTCAATAAATGCAAAAATGGTCCTGTTTTTAAGGAGTCAGTAAACTCACCCATGAAGTAATCAGGTAACTGCATGATAGTACGGAATCATGTGTCAGAATGCATACTAGGAGGGAGTCCAAAGAAGGAGAAAATTAATAAAAGGTAGATCAGGTGGAGGAGGCCCCTGGCAAAAGGTAGGAAATTTCATCTGTATCTCCAAAAAAAAAAAAAAAATTGTTTATCATAAAGGAGGAGTTAGAATATTGTAGACTTGAGAAATGGAAGCAGGGTTAAGTGAAATCGGGAAGGTAAACACATATTGGTGAGACAGGTCCAGCTGATCTTGGTTCGGGTTGAAACGGGAATAAGGTGAAGTGGTAATTCGATGAGGAAATGAGTGACAGGGCAAATTTAGATTGTGGAAAGCCTCAATTGCCAAAAAGTATTGATTTCTATTATCTCCAACTTTTTTTTTTTTTTTTGAGAAAGTGGAAGAAGTAAGCTGATATTTCAAGAGCAATTTAAGATGTCCCAAGATGAGTTAAGGATGGGAGAGACTGGAGGCAAGAAGACCATTTAGAAAGCTAGTGTGGTGGTCCAGGCATGAAAGGCAGCAGATATAGTAGAACAGGACAAGCAGATCCAAGGAAGGAACAAGGCTTGGTGACTAAAATACAATAAAGAAGAAATAACCAAGGGGTAGTCTGCAGTTCAAGATGTCTGAATAAATAGTCAAAGAATTTTAGACCATCAAGGGGGCCAGTTGGATCCCTTTATGAGAAAATGGGTGGTTGTTTAAGTGCCAGAACCAGTTCTCCACAGAGCCAACAGAGCTCAGGCCAGTGTTACAAGATTTAGCAAACAGCACAAGCCTAAGTGTTAATTACATATAAATCATGTTCAGTCCCAACCACTGGACCGCCAGGGAATTCCCTAGAATGACTCTTCCTAATGGTGAGAGCAAGCTGATCAGAATGTGTTGCCATATAACTGCCACAGGACTAAATGAAAAAGTCATGTAACTATACGAATCGTTCCTTTGTGAAGTCAGATTCTTTCTGATTTCTGCTGTGAATAGAAACTTGATTAGCAATTTCTTAAGGTTTTAAGTGCTCCCTGGTGACATGAACCATAATGACTTATCCCTTCTCTGACTGCTTTTTGCACTTACTGGGCACCTTGATATTTGTCTCTGAGTGTACCATGCCCTTTATTAAGAGTGTACGTCCTTCTTGGTAGGGGACTTATACTTCATTTGCTCTTAGCCTAAATTACAGTGTTGTGTTTTGAAACTCTGCTAGTCCACTTACGGTTAGCCAATTGCTGAAGAAACTAATGAAAATTTTAGGATTAAAGAAACTGAAAGTTTAAATAATAATGAAAAATACACTCCCCTGAGAGACTGCAGAGACTAATGGCATGAGAACGGATTTAAGCATCAGGAATATGATTCTTCAATAGCCTCAGAGAGGTCACAGATAATTCCATTTGTCTTTTCAGTCATCATCTGAAGCCTGCAGGTCTTGGTAAGTTAAAATGCAACCTTAATCATCAATGATTTCCTTTTAGACATGCGTAAACTCAGGGTCTACTAGGACTGCTGTTAAGAAAGAATATACAAAATATTTGGAGAATGGAATGGCAATCCACTTCAGTATTCTTGCCTGGAGAATCCCATGGACAGAGGAGCCTGGCAGGCTACAGTGCCTAGGATCACGGAGTCTGACATGACTGAGCGACTAACACCTCAAACTTCAACTGGATGCAATTTGAAGTATAGTCAGAAAAGAGTGGGAAGTGGGCACAAAGTTGTCGAACAGTTTGAGTGGTTATGCACTTCTGGAAGTTATTGCCAGATGCAGCAGGGAAGTCCTCTGGGAAAAGATACCAGAAGTAGAGCAAGCCACACCTCCTTCTCCCAGAACTCCTCATTCCTATGCTTGTGAACTTTTTTAGATGAATCATGGACCTGGAGGTTAAAAATGTATTATAAAATAATGGGTTAGCCAAAAAGTTCGTTAGGGTTTTTCTGTACAAACTTTTTGGCCAACCCAATACATCAAGACATCACCAAATCAGCTTACTGGAGAAGCATGGTGGGAGATTCTCTAAATATTAGAAAAATGTTACATTAAGAAATAGTCTTACATTACTCTCAAGTCATTACAAATACAGGTGATGAGTTCACTGAAGCTCAGTGTTTTGATGAAGCATATTACCAATTAGGTTTTATTTTTTTCCCTTTTTACTTTGAAATAATTGAAGCACTCCCCATTTGATAGTATCTACACAATTGCATACTAGATGGTCAGAACCAGGAAAATTGCATACCATCAATTCGTTTTTAGAGATGTCAAAGTTTGTTACAGAATTTTAGATCCCTGCTGAATATTGAAGAGGGACGTTTCCCTGGACACAGCCTAGTCACAAAGGTGAAGGTGAGGAGCAGAGGAGTCAGGTGTCTTGATTTGAGCAATGTTTCTCAATCCTGGTGAACATTCTAGTTGCCTGGACTATGGGTAAAATTCAACCACTGCCTAGGCCTATTGCAAATCAATCATATTAACTGCTACAAGTAAGACTCAGGCATCAGTATGTTCTAAAAGCTCCTCTGGGTAATTCTCTAGTGGTTCAGTGGTTAGGATTCAGTTTTTTCCACTGCTAAGGGCCTAGATTCAATCCCTGGTCAGGGAACCAAGATCCCCACAAGCTGCTGCGATGTGACCAAAAATAAATAAAAGCTCCTCTGAAGATCCTTAAGTGCAGCCAGAGTTCAGAAATACTGGTGTAAGGTTGATTTAATGCTTTTTCTAAAATGAGGATTTTTGAGTTATGTTTTGCTTTTTCGATGTCACTGACAAATATTTCAATGTATTCAAACTCTCTTTGCTCTATTTGTAGAAGTTTCAATTCGCTTTCTATAATTAATCCAAGTAAGCCTTAAAACTGAGCTATATAATGGGCGATGGGGCGTCTCATCTCCAGACCATGTCTCCTAGGTTCAGGCGTAGGATAAAAATGGAGTAAACCCGGACATACTTTTTCTCTAGCTCTAGCTTCTAGTAGTTTGGATCGGTATCACTGTTTTTACTTCAAATTTCAGGAAATTTGGAGAGCTACTAATATCACAGAGGAAATATATATATATGGGAGAAATCGATCCCATATATATACACCAGAGATCGATTTCTCCCATACTACTAATTGCATCAATCACGCAGGAACACATAGACTCCTTTCTGGGCATAATCAAATTACCTCTGTAAGGGCTCGCCCTAAAACTATTTTTGGAAAACTAGGGATTTTCCAGATTAGCGAAAGCTGTGGCTCTGTCACTGGCTCAGGCCTGTTTCATAATCTAAGCCGCTAAAGCAGCCGCCCTCGCAGTCAATACGAAGCCTGCGCCCTACTTCGATACCTCTGGGAATCACAGGCTCACGGTGAGCTTTCTTTCCCCCCTTGGAACCGAAGTAGTTCACATTCCTGTTTTCTAAAAATACCGTAAAGCAACCCTCTCCAGATTCCTCGCGGGTCACTTTAAATTACAAGTTCGGCCCTACACGACACCGGAGTAACCACTTAGAGCCGCCAATGCGGGCGAAGGTCGATCCGCCGCCTCTCTCTGTACTCGCTGAACCTGCGCCGCCCAAATGCGGAGAGTTCGGAGAGGAAGAGAGACGGGAGCACACGGACGCACGTTCTAGAGGAATTAGCAAAACTGTGCAGGGGTTACAGTAAATTTGCGGACTCGAACTTGGAGATAAGGTATCTCGTAAAGCTCCCTGATTACTCTTTGATTAAAAATATTACAAACGAGGCGAGGCGGTTTGAGGTTGTGTTAGTAAGTAGACCACGTCCCCAGCCACTCTGCGGAACCAACGAAGAGGTCACCCGGGTCACCCGACGGTCCCACCCAGAGGCCTGCGCTCCCCGGCCGGCGCGGGCGTAGGCTCCGCGGGCGGAGACCCCGCCTGAAGGGACTAGTTGGCACGCCGGCTGGGCGTGGTGACGTCAGGGCGGAAGCGCACCCTGCGTGAAGCGGCCAGAACCCGGCGGTCACGGGAATATCCGTCGCGCCGAGAACGCTGGTTAGTCTCACTCCGGGTTCCGGCTGCGTTGGGCGTGCGTGCAGCTCGCTGAGACTATGGCGTCCGGGCCTCACCCGACCGCGACCGCTGCCACCGCCGTCTCGTCTGCTGCCCCGAGCGCGGGCGGCTCAAGCTCCGGCACGACGACCACGACGACGACCACGACGGGAGGAATCCTGATCGGCGACCGTCTCTATTCGGAAGTTTCGCTCACCATCGACCACTCGCTGATTCCGGAGGAGCGGCTATCGCCCACCCCGTCCATGCAGGACGGACTCGACCTGCCCAGCGAGACGGACTTGCGCATCCTGGGCTGCGAGCTCATCCAGGCCGCCGGCATTCTCCTCCGGCTTCCGCAGGTCAGTGCTCCGGCCCCGGGCCGGCAGGCGCGCCTCCCCTCCCCACCTTCCCCTCCGCTGCCTCCCGGTACCACCAGGGCCCGCCGCGTGGGGGTCACCCCCTGGGCCTCTTCAGCCGCGGTCGCAGCCAGAGCGCGGGAGGGCCCTTGCGATGGGAGGACGGCCCGGGAGCTGTTCGCGGTGGGGAGGGGGAGGGGAGTGAGCAGAGGCACAAAATGGCGGCGGCGCCTGGTGCGGGCCCGCCTGACCCCTGCGCTTCCGTTCTCTTCTCTTGTCTGCAGGTGGCGATGGCAACGGGTCAGGTGTTGTTTCATCGGTTTTTCTACTCCAAGTCTTTCGTCAAACACAGTTTCGAGGTAAGCAGGGCGGGGGCGGGCGACGCGGGAATTTCTCCATCCGGAAATGGGAAGTAAGGAGGGGGTAGTGTCAGCGGCCAGCCTTTGCAGAAAGGGAGTGGTTAGTTTTAGGCCTTTGTACCTAGCTCTCACCCATAGGGGAGTAGGGACTTGCGGAGAGAGTTTGAGAACCAGAAGATGGAGCCTGAGCCCAGGTGCCTTATTACCAAGAATTTGCATTTTCAATCAAATGGAGAGTTCCTGTGAGATTGAGTTTGGCTCCGGATTGAAAATTAAGGGGAATAAGGACTTCCCCGGTGGCTCAGATGGTAAAGCCTACAATGTGGTAGGCCCGGGTTCCATCCCTGGGTTGGGAAGGTCCTCTGGAGAAGGAAATGGCAGCCTCCACTCCCATACTCTTGCCTGGAAAATCCCATGGACATTGGAGCCTGGTAGGCTACAGTCCATGGGGTCGCAAAGAGTCGGACACGACTGAGCGACTAAACTTTCAGTTTCAGACAATAAGAAGAAACGTCACACTAGCATAGTCTATGTCCTAGAAATGTCAACTGCGCTTTCATTTCACCAAATGCCCCAGCTGTGTCTGAAGGTTTTTTCATTAGAGTAAGTTCTGTAGACTTTGAGAGGGGCGCTTCTTTCTGCTTTGCTGCTGCCCGGCCATAATCTAACAGCTTTTTATTGGCTTTTTTCCCCCCCAGATTGTTGCCATGGCGTGTATAAATCTTGCATCAAAAATCGAAGAAGCACCTAGAAGAATAAGAGATGTGATTAATGTATTTCACCACCTCCGCCAGTTAAGAGGAAAAAGGTAAGATTGGCATTATTGAATGCAGCATCTCTTGCTACTGCTGAACTGTGCACCAATCATATCAAAACATTCTTTTCTCTCAAGTTAAAACCGACGCAAGGGAAAACTGACTTTAATTTAGGTGTTAAAATTCACATAGGAACACACTGATACTTATAATGTGAAAAACCGCAGTTAACCAGTTACCTGAAGTTTGTAGAGGCAGTTGCATTTATGGACAGTCCTAACAGTGCTGTGAAGCCAGTCCTGTGGTTTTAAGATTAATCAAGAAAGGGAATATGTTTGTCTCAAGTGTGAGTGTGTTCTGTAAGTTATTTCTCCCCTCCCTTCTCTATAAGGCTAAAGGCTGGAAGTTTAAACACTGCAGTTCAAGTTAATATTGTGGTGAAGTTTTGTGTAGATTGTCTTACCACTGGAAGTTCCAGTTAATTCTTTACCAATTGAGGCTGGCTTTTGTTAGAATACTTCTCAACATTGAACTACGATATCCCCCCATAATACCGGATCTGAAAGGACTGCAGGATGATAAAGTTTGGAGTCAAAGGGATTAAACAGGTATTTTGTTTTGGTCAGATAATAGTCTCACTGAGTGGGCTGCATTTAGATAGGGCCCGTTTATCTGATCTAGTAAGAAAGTAGAAACCAAAATAGTGTTGTTTTATAGGTGGACACCTGCTAGCATTTTGTGTTCCTGTGAGACAGTACCAAAAAGTTTTAGTTACAGTGCTGCTTGTGTCTGCAGATGACTTCTAGTACTAGATGCTTCTAGTACATACATAGTGTAGATTAGTAGTTCTGTTCACTTTTTGAGAAGTTGTTGTGATACTAGATAAACTTGTACTGAGTTTGAAAGGAAGTCAGTTATAAAAAGATTTTAAGTCATTCTGGGGTTGGGCATTGGTTAGTACCAAATTAATAGCTCCCATGAGTGGTCCTTATGAGTTGAATCTGTAAATTGTTGGTAATGGAACTATTTAGAGACAAGCGAATAGTAGCCTTGAAATGATTAGTTAGCCTACTTAGACTGAAATGTTGTTACCCAGGTAGTTTTCACAGCAGTTTTCAGTTTTCTTACATTCTTTTTTCTGTTCTTTCCTCATTCACCTTATTTTCAGGGATAGACTAACTTTTTAATTGCATCTAAAAATGTCTTCCAGCTTTTTAGTGAGGAATCCCTGAAACTTGGGAGTTTTCAAATTGATAATTTAGTATGGTCTGAGCTAAAAGTTATATTTAGATCTAGTTGATTGTTAAGGGTGTTTTAAACAATGACACGATTCTTTAGTCAAAGGATTCTGTTTGCTTAAAGGAAATAGTTTTCTGTTAGTATTCTTTGAACCATTTTGCTATTATCATTTATTATCTACTTTGAAATTTTTCTTTGAGATGGAGTATTCTTCCTTGATGTCAGAGTAGGTTCTCTTAACTGTGAAAACCTTGGAATTTAAAACATCTCACCTGATTTGACTGTTGTGTCGGGTCTCCCCCCCCACCCCCTTTTGGTCATTATCACAAATTGATTGTGTCTCAGTTAAGACTGAAGTCTGATTACAGCATGAAATTTAAAGGGAGTTGTTAATTGCATGGAAGCCTTTTTTTAAAAAGCAGGATGTAAAAGTGTTTCTATGCATATTACAAGTTTACTCAGACAGGTAGCTTGTATATGTTATTAACTTCAACTCTTTTTTCCCTTGCAACCGACTATACAGCGACCAGCTACATTTACCAAAGCCTGGGTGATGTGGAGTGGTACATAGCGATGAAGCTGTCGTCATGGCAACAGTGAGTGAAGTATCGAAAATCCCCAAGGAGAAGCCAGTGCTCTGAGAATAGGTCACTGGAATCGGGGACTAACAGGTTGGCCACTGGTGAACCATTTAGAAAAACTCCTGTTTCTTGTTATAAGCGTTTGTCTTTGCTGTCCAAGTTATTAGAACGATAGCTTAGTAATTTTTTAGATTAATGTCATTAAAAGAGTACTATTAATATCACTTTAGATAAAGTGTATAAGTTTGTTTTAATGGTATTATTTATTTTAGTTTATGCATAGCTTTAAATTGTAGTGTGACCTTGCTAATAACGAGCATCAATTTTGTAGCCTTTTAAAAAAAGTTGCTGTATTTCAGTGCTGACTATATATTAGAATTACTAGAGGAGCTTTTAGGAAGAACTGATGCCCAAGCTCCATTCTGAATTATGTGATTTTCTTTTTTTTTATTGTCATTTTTTGTAGTTTTAAGAATTTTTTTAAGCTCAGAAAGATGTTTTTTTCATTTCAATAGTTTCCAATTATAGTTTGCTTTTGAAATGCAGCATATTTCCAGCAAATTAAGGGTTTTCTGTAGTTTTAAGGCACCTAGCTTCATACTGTAAGCCTTGTCTAAAAGAAGGCAGATATTCAAAGACTGCAGCAGCCCACTTATTGGTGAATGTGGTGTGGTATTTTCAACGTGCATATAGATCATAGATTAGACTTGGAAGGGTCTTAAGTGATCTTGTCATTTAGTCCAGTCTTCATCCACAGTTTATTTTGGTGGCTCTAAAAGATGGCCTTTAGTTTGTTTAAACACTGCCAAAGAATGTTCCTTTGAAGTAGGAATTACAGATTTCTGTATGTTGAGGAAGAAACAACTGATCTCCTTGAAGTATAGTCTCAAAGAATTTGTTCCATGTTTACTTGGTCCTTTGTGCCACATGAGTAAGACAAACCATGTTTGAATCTCCTCCTAAATTTGTGTTGTTGTATTTTTGAGATCATGCTAAAGGAAAGATAGCTAATCTGAGACCCCATAATAAACTTCAAATGATCAAAACCCAAAACTTTGCACTAAGATTAAAATTTGAGAATTGTTCTTTTCATATAAATTAATCTGAAAAGGTCTTGACAAAAGCAGAGGAGTAGGAGTTAGGTTTGGGTGTTTTTTATCATGAAAATTACTTTCTTCTGAACAGATGAAAGTTTCTTTTAAGCAGGTTTTTTTAAAAGATTTTAAAATGTTAACCTCTTCAAACTTTTATTGGAAAGAAAGTTTGCCTAATTGATGAGGAACAAATTCTAGCAAACCTTAATTAAATTTGATGTGCTTGTTGCCAGGTAAAGAATGAGTAGATACTTTGTTAATACAAAGAAACAATTTGCTTAGGCAGTTTGAACATTTTCTTACTGCTGCTATTTGAGGATACAATTGTGATACAAAGTAATCTTTGTAAGTAGGATAAGTTACATGTTCATTGAGTCTCCTTTCATTGTGAGGTAAAACCACTTCTGAACAGTGAAGGTATCAGATTATATACATCCACAAAATGGACTGAAGATTGCAAGTGGTTACTATTGCCTAAGCAAGAAGTTGAGGAGGGAGTGGGTTTGGTTTCCCTAATTGGTTTAATATTGGGATTTTGACACCAAAAATGTGAAAGTAAAGATTATACAGAATAGATAGAAAATAACTAATTAAGCAGAATTAGTGATTAAACCTGATTAGGGACCAGATAATAGCCATAATTCAAATGTTGAGTTAGTTGTAAGAAAATGAATTTCTAATAGCATTTGAAATAACTCTTAAAGCAAGTTTGGTAAGAGATACAATAAATTTGTTCAACACAAATAGGAAAAAAACAGACAAAACTTTTCATAAAAATTTTATAAAGATTCTAATGGTGTAGTTTACTATTTGAGTTGTACCTTAAGTGTTAAGAAGGTGGTGTGTAACTATACCACCAGAGGTATTCTGTCTCCTAATGAATACCTGATGAAAGGGTCATCAGATAACCAGTCCATTGGTTAAAGAGTTGGTTCTTTAAGTAGATTTCACTTTTCCCCAGATTTCCTGTTATAACATTGAGAAATGATAAACCTTAAGATCTCTGAACACGTTTTTGTGTACACATTAGTTTCTCTGCCGCTAAGTCGTGTCCAAATCACTGTGACTCCATGAACTGTAGCACACCAGGCTTCCCTGTCCTCATTTATTTTTTCCAAAGAAAAGTGAACTCGTAGCCTGTTTGTCCTGATAAAATGGGTTCATTATTTATATTTTTATGTTAGCAATCAGTCTCCTCCCCACCTGAAAAATGTGGCTTCATTTCTCACCTTTCAAAGCTGTAAGAACTGAATTGAGTGAAGGCCACTTTCAGCATTAACAGGCTGTTTTCCATCTTGTCAGCTTTGCCAATTTTTGTCTTATAGCCAACTTGATAGTATAGAAAAGCTAGAAATAGTTTAGTTAAGCGTTGCAGTTTTATAGTTTGAAACAGGAGAAAAAGGAAAATGAATGAGTTGATTTTTTTTACTCTGGAAACATACATTACAGGGTAATATAGCTGATTTCAGATTCTTTTCTGATCTTCAAGTGGATTGTAGTATAAAATTATAAGATTAAATTTTTTTGGATTTGGTGTCCATAGTGAAAGGAGAAGTGGGGGCAGTATTCAGAAGGACTATCTTTAAAATGTTGTGTTCTTCCCAGAGCCTCTTGGATTTTTTGGCTGAAAATGAGTATGGGGGAAAATATTTACATATTCTACCCATGTTAAAATCAGCTTCTAAATAAAAGTGTTTTTTGTTGGTTGGATCTAAGAATGTAACAAACGAAGGACATTGGTACCTTTCATAAACTTTAAGAAGAAAAATTCCAAGCCCTGACTGACTTCTCATTAAGAAACTAGTTTATTATTTTAAGACTTAAATTTAAGAGTTTTTTAATTGAAAGCATTTTTCCCCCAAAGCACTGAACCACAGATATGTTGCCTCTCTCATAACTTTTAAAGCTGTCAATTTTGGTCTGGTACACAGACCTTACGTGCTGTTTCAGTTTCTTCATTATAGTTGGTCTTCCCTTCTCCTGCATTGGGTACTAACGATGCTGGCTAATAACTGAACAAATTTTGGCCTGGTTATATTGATTACTTTGAGTGTTAAATCTGATTCTTAAAAATATTTCTTTGGTAATTGAGCTGAATCTTTAGTTTCCAGATTATTAACAGAGACTCAGATCAGTTTATTTAAATCAACTGCCCATTTAGGGGAATCTGAATTAGCTACACACCCTATTTTCCCCTAATTTTAGCTTTGGTCTTAAACTAATCATGAGTGGATATTTTGTAAAATCACTCTATTCTTAATGAAGTCTTTGTGATACATATTTTCAAGAGCTGTGAAGTCTTTGTAATACATATGTTCAAGAGCACATTAATTTTGTTTCTAGTCTGTGGAGACTAATGAGATTGTGAAAATAAATCAGGCTGTTATGTAATATAAATACATCTGGATGAAAAAAAACCAAGGATAAATCTAAGAGCATTAGACTGAAATTTTTTTCATTTCAGGGTTTTGTTAGTAAACTAGGAAGTGAGTCTAGAAAGTATATATTTAATTAGCATAACTTGGACAGCACAAGATTAATGCTTTTAACTTGTTTGCAGGAGTTTAAAAAGCTGGTTTCTGTTGCCAATAGTTGGTTGGAAGGGAAAATGGAGATACCACAAATAAAATTTTTGGGATGTGCAAAACAGTTTTGATTTTATTTCTTACAAACTATAGGACTCCAAGCCCCCTGATCCTTGATCAGAACTACATTAACACCAAAAATCAAGTTATCAAGGCAGAGAGGAGGGTGCTAAAGGAATTGGGATTTTGTGTTCATGTCAAGCATCCCCATAAGGTGAGTTGTAGAATACAGAAATTACAGTCGTAAGTATTAGGATTTTGTTCTTTTAAAATTTTATTTCCTGCAAATTTGTCTTTGAGCACTAACCATTGGTTTTAAAAAGCAACTCTTTGGAATTTAAATGATCTGTAAAATGAGAATCAAAGTCTTGGATTCAGATCTTTTTATTATGTGGGCGTAGATAAGTTCTTTTTGCTTCTGAGGTAACCCAGTATTCATACTAGAGAATGGAAATGTTTACATATTAGCCATGAAATGAATAAACACGTGTGTCTGCAGAAGTACCTGGTGGTGTGTTACCTTTTGCATAGTGGAATGGCTTAGACTGTGTGGCTGCTCACTTCTGGCATCATTGAGTGTTCTTAGGTTTCTCCAGTCTCTTGGCTTCCATATGCTCAACATAAGCCATAGCACAATGATAATGAGAGCAGGTTCTCTGGGGACAGGACCATCTGCACATAGAAATGCGTTTCTGCCGTTAGCTGTGTGACCTTGGCAGAAAAAATCTGTGCCTCAGATTCCACATCTCTAAAATTGTGAAATGAGAACGATGGTAATGGTCCAGAAAGATCTGAGCTGAGGTAAACTCATTTGAGTTTTTAAAATTTATCATACTTTAGTATGGTACGCTTCACTGTAGAAATGTTTGGTTACTTACTATAATTAATGCGTTTCTGCCGTTAGCTGTGTGACCTTGGCAGAAAAAATCTGTGCCTCAGATTCCACATCTCTAAAATTGTGAAATGAGAACGATGGTAATGGTCCAGAAAGATCTGAGCTGAGGTAAACTCATTTGAGTTTTTAAAATTTATCATACTTTAGTATGGTACGCTTCACTGTAGAAATGTTTGGTTACTTACTATAATACCCACTCTGAGTTGTGCATAGTATGCATCATACACATTGTGTAACTTTAAAACAGTCTCTAGGGTTTTTGTACCTTTGGAAATTAAGTGAAATAATCAGTTCCTGTCACATGAAAAATTAGATACTATTCTTAGATGACTTAGCTTCTTTTTTCCTGTACAATTTTGGAACATTTCATGTCCATGTGAACTTTAGTAACATAGAAACCTACATTGACTATCAGGTACATTTAGGTTGGTACATATTAGGTATATCAGGTACATTTAGGTTGGTCTGTATTATTCATGCAGACCAATTCATTATTTTTATGAATTAAAACTTGCTCCTAACATTTTCAGTTACTTATGTTCATTGAACTCTTTGATTTGAAAGAGCTTCCAATATGCTAAACTAAGTTTTTTTCCCTTGTCCTTCAGATCATTGTTATGTATTTACAAGTCTTAGAATGTGAACGTAATCAAACCCTGGTTCAAACTGCCTGGTAAGTTGCTTTTTACGTTGCTTTCCTAGCCAGGAAAACAGAAGCAGAAATAAAGTAAGTTTCATTTTCCCTTTTTCCAAAATGATGAGAGAAGTTTGTTTTGGTGCTTTTTGTTTTTTTGTGTTTTAATCAAAAGGTAAATAATGCTTATTTCTGCTTCCTGTTTTCTTGGCTTGACTAATTACTTTTAATGGAGAACTCAATTTAACTTTGTTCTTTTTTCTACTCTTTAATTAAAGGGTAGTCCATGATGGTAAGTCATAGAACTCTGCCCTCTGCACTTCAGCCCATGACCTCAGGATGGCCTGATTGGCTGCCCTGCTCTCCAGCCAATCCAGTGCAAGCTCTCATCCGAGATTCACTGAAGTGGTCCATATCCATCTGGCAGCATCTTCTAGTTCTGTCGGGTTGTCAAAAGGATTTGTATATTTGCTTCTAGAAGTAACTATTCAACATGCCTATGTATTTAATGTATACCTGTAACTATCAAAATGAATAGTTCATTTTTGATAGATTTGTTGTCCAGCCATTACTTAAATGATTTTTGCTAGGAGTTTGACTAGATTTCTATTCTTAGTTTGTATAGCATGAATTCTACCAGTGGAAACAGCAGCTTAAAATGGGCACCATTCCCGTTCTTGATGAATGTATAGCTGTTGGGCTATTGGAGGCAATGGTATTAGAAGTAAGAAGTACTTCATTTTAAAGAGCTGTTAATTTTAACATAGAACTCGAAAACTTAGATTTTAGAGCTAAAGATGTGTGATTTGTAGTGCTGACTTAAAAGTTAAAAAAAGGAGTTTGTGGTTCAGCCACAACTACTGTCTTAAGACTGTTGATGTGCAGTACTTAAGTGATGTAATTCTTATGTTCTGGACTTAACGACTGCCATGCTTCTTTATTAGTAATATTAGAAAAGTCTCATTGCTTTTATAAAATGCATGACTTTGATATATGTTCTATAAAACAGATTCTTACCAGTTTTCACGGGTTAAGGACTTTTAAGAAACAGTCTTTTAGTTTAACTTTTTGAACAATTTGTAAAATTTATTCAATACTTCAGGAATATTGTGGGGAGGGTTCACTATTATAAAAGTCCAGTAATTTATTAACTGAAGTAGTTACTGCTTTTATTTATATTTAGTCACACTTGTATATAAACAAGGCTGTTATATATATTATTTGCTCTTCACTTCCCAACCTAGGTTTTCTGAACTAGCTTAGTTTTCTTAATTTGGTGCGTGCTTACTGAAAATGCTTTTTTATCCCTATCACAGTATTGAATTTTTGACACTGCTTTTCATTGTGGATAAAGGAGAGAGATGGTCAATAACTAATGGCTTGAAGTATTGTTGGAGTGGTTTGTCATTTCTGAAACTAATCATGTCGGAACTTTCGGAGCATTGCTTTTCATAGAAATATGTTTTTTTTAAAAACTGTTCTATGTGGAGTAACAATATGGAATTATTATTTTTTTAATATGGAATTATTTTAAAGGACTTCGGTCCTATTTAGGAGACATGAATGATTCTAGTGTTAAATTCTTATCTCTCACTGCTTTTTGAGTTAAGAATTGTTATATGCTAGAATACTGAAAATACAAATATGAGAAGAAAAAAGAATAAAGTAGATTGAGTCTCCAATTTTATGTAAGCTTCAGAGGAACTGATTTGTATACATACAAAGCTTATGGTTGAAATATTTTTCAGGAATTATATGAATGACAGTCTTCGAACCAATGTATTTGTTCGATTTCAACCAGAGACTATTGCATGTGCTTGCATCTACCTTGCAGCTAGAGCTCTTCAGGTAGGTGCATATATATATATATAGACATGTAAATCTTGTATATTCCAATAGGATAAATCACAGGAATTAGCAGTTCTAATAAAAACAGTGAAAATTTCATCGAATCTGTTTTTATGGTTTAGATTCCATTGCCAACTCGTCCCCATTGGTTTCTTCTTTTTGGTACTACGGAAGAGGAGATCCAAGAAATCTGCATAGAAACGCTTAGGCTTTATACCAGAAAAAAGGTAATTCTGTTTACCAGTATTTGTGTTAATATTTTGTCAGTGCTAAGAATGTAAACTTCTGTAAAAGAGAAATACTAACTTCTCTTTCTTCCAACAGCCAAACTATGAATTGCTGGAAAAAGAAGTAGAGAAAAGAAAAGTTGCCTTACAAGAAGCCAAATTAAAAGCAAAGGGATTGAATCCTGATGGAACTCCAGCCCTTTCAACTCTTGGTGGATTTTCTCCAGCCTCTAAACCATGTAAGGTTAATAATAAGGACTGCCAATGTGTGGTTATTAGTAAGTTTTAGCATTTCAAAGTTGCATAGAAACAGTGATGTTAAGATATTCCTATTTTCTCTCTTGACAGCCAACTAAGGACTGATAAAATTGAATGGTACTTGGTTACATTTAGAAACCTATTTGGTCTTCTGTAAAATCTAATAGTTAACATGCCTTAATGTTCTTTTAAAAGCATCACCAAGAGAAGTAAAAGCTGAAGAGAAGTCACCTATTTCCGTTAATGTGAAGACAGTAAAAAAAGAACCCGAGGATAGACAACAGGCTTCTAAAAGCCCTTACAATGGGTGAGTATAGTCGAGTTAGAAAAATGGCCTGTGGAATCTTTTTATGTATTTAATTTCTAATACTATGTACATAACTAAAAGATTGTATTTTTTTTTAAGTGTAAGAAAAGACAGCAAGAGAAGTAGAAATAGCAGAAGTGCAAGTCGATCAAGGTCAAGAACACGATCGCGTTCTAGATCACATACTCCAAGAAGACAGTAAGTAAATACTCTGTTGGGGAAAGCAGCTTTATTTGGAGTCTTAAAAGGTTATGGCTTTTAAAAAAAATTGCACATGGACTATTTCCAAAGTTAGGCTAGATTTAATACAGGGTAAATTGTCAGAAACTAGTTTGGAGATACGCTGTGTGGCATGTGGCTTTTTTGTTTCATGGTAGTATATGGCATTCTGTTCTGGTTTTGGCTTTTGTTTTCTGGAGAGGTGTACAGCCTGGCCAGCCACTTACTACTAATGAAGAATCAGGTCAGCTATAGCCAAAGACTTTCCCTAGTTAACTTTACAATGAGATGGCCAGCTCCTTGTGGCTCTTCAGTGGTTCTTTGGGGCACATGGGAGATAATTCAGTAAATAGCTAGGATACTCGAATTACTCCCTTCCTTGGAATATAGATGTAGTATATTTAAGATTTGTTTAATATGTTAACAGGCTGAAGGAGAGGTAGTGAGGGGTGGGGAAGTTTATTAAACATCTTCAGTCTGCTCTGTCACTGATAACAGTGGTTTTGTTTTGAACCTGCTATGAACCCACCACCAAAAATAATTTGCTCCCAGTAGAAACTGACTCTCAACCTCAAATTTTTATTATCTAAGTTATAATAATAGGCGGAGTCGATCGGGAACATACAGCTCGAGATCAAGAAGCAGGTCCCGCAGTCACAGTGAAAGCCCAAGAAGACATCATAATCATGGCTCTCCTCACCTTAAAGCCAAGCATACCAGAGATGATTTAAAAAGTTCAAATAGACATGGTCATAAAAGGAAAAAGTCTCGTTCTCGATCTCAGAGCAAGTCTCGGGATCACTCAGATGCTGTCAAGAAACACAGGCATGAAAGGGGCCATCATAGGGACAGGCGTGAAAGATCTCGCTCCTTTGAGAGATCCCACAAAGGCAAGCACCATGGTGGCAGTCGCTCGGGACATGGCAGGCACAGACGCTGACTTTCTTCCTTTGAGCCTGCATCAGCTCCTGATTTTGCCTATCTACAGTGTGATGTATGGACTCATAATCAAAATATTAAAAGCAAACTGATTAGGATTTGATTTCTTAAACCCTCTAGGTCTCTAGAAACACTGAGGACATTTTCTTTTAAAAAGAACTATGTTTTTTTGTTTTTTTTTTTTTTTTTTGCACATAAAATGCCCTAGCAGTATCTAATTGAAAACCATGGTCAGGTTCAATTGTAATTATTATAGTTGTGTATTGTTTATTGCTATAAGAACTGGAGCGTGAATTCTGTAAAAAATGTATCTTATTTTTATACAGATAAACTTGCAGACACTGTTCTATTTAAGTGGTTATTTGTTTAAATGATGGTGAATACTTTCTTAACACTGGTTTGTCTGCATGTGTAAAGATTTTTACAAGAAAATAAAATACAAATCTTGTTTTTCTAAACTGCTTCAATCTTATTTAAATAAATTATTAAAAAAAATTTTGATAGTAAAATGCCTGTACTGATTTTCTGACAGACCTGTTTCTTTCCTTGTTATATGTGAGATTAAAATGTAATTCTTAGTTGCACTGGGAGCTTTCTTAGAAATCTCCCCTGTATAGGTGGAAAAAGCAAATGGGTTTGGCCCAACAGTGTACATTACATGTTTTATTGTGGCATGAAGCTTGTCAAGATTTGATTTGCACATAAATGGTACCATAAGGTTATTTAAGTCAGGTTTAAGTACTATTTTGAAGGTGAACAAACCAGAATTTTCAATAGGACAGCAAATTGGCACCAGCTATTCAGCTTTTAAGTTTTTCTTTAGGTATTTAGGCTAGGAGGTGAGCCCATCCCCCAAATCCTGCCCCCGTGGTCCCCATCCTGCCTGGCTGTGCAAAGGAATATCTGATCACAAAAAAATCCAGAAGTCTATAGCCAAGAGTATTTTTAAAATTATTTACTTGAGAGTTCCCTAATATTTTGGAAGTCAATTTAGAGACCTTAAAAAGCCGTAATAAAATATTACTTTATAGTTAAGTTTTCCATTCGAATTTTTACCCATCTTGATTACTTACCTTGTCCACTAGACTTGGCTCCAAATGATTTGTTGCTGTTTCAAAAACTCAAACACACCCACAAAGAGATGAAGATTTACTGCCATAAGGATGTTTAAAGTAGTTACAGCTTCTGAAGAGGACTCCAAAGAAGATTTCCAAACAGGTTCTGCAATGGTGGGTAGTGGGGCTGGAAAAAGTAGAAAGCCTCAGAGAGATGAGGCTCACTTGGAAATAAAAGTGTCGGTATGGTACTTAAGTCAGTTACATTCCTAACTAAAAACTAACATGACCTAGTGTGAATGAGCAACTTCCGGAAAGGTAATAGTTCATTGTTGTTTCTATATGTGCTTTTATGATACATATTGCTGATCTGTAACAATATTTCTAAAAAGCTTAAACTGCCTCTAAATAGTGACATTTCTTTCCAAGACCAACATTGAAGAAAGGCAAATGACCTGTTAAACAAAGACCCTGTTGAACAAATCCTGAGTTCTTAATAGTGTAGCAATTCTTATTGTATCCTTGTTTGGAAATAGCATGTGGGTGAAGGCGTTTAGGAAGGTAAAAGATAAACCTGAATGTGAGGTAAGAGCTGTATGTTACAGGTTGCTTTGGAATGATTACTTTGTTCCTTCTGCCCTAATTTTTGTGCTACTTTTTTTCTGAGAGTGAAAGAGGTTTTTTTTAACTTTTTATGTTAGAGTACAGTAGATTAACAGTATTGTGAGAGTTTTCAGTGTCTTGTGCTGTTACTGAATCCGTTTTATAGGTTGTTGAGAGTTTAGGTTCTTGTCAAGAGTTTAATAATCTTATGCTGAACCCACATTTAATTACAGGGATGAGTACCCATCAGCTCCAAAAACAATGATCAATTCTAGGTCAGGCAACCTTTTTACTTTAACATCTAACTTAGTATTCAAGTTTCCTGTTTGTTTTATAGTTGGTTTGTTCAAACAAGGTCTGTATTTGGTTTTAATCACAAGTTGTCCATCCTTTTTTCCCCTGAAAAATTGGGTCATTTGTCTTGTAATTTTCATATTCTGGGTTGGCTGATTGTAACCCTGTGGTATCCCTAAACACATTTTTTTGTTTCTCATAGATCCCAAGGCTTATTATTTTGAAACATACTGAATTGCTGCCTCATAAACCAGGTATCTCACCTAAGTTCCTGATCCTAAAACATTACTGCTTGTATGAACATCAGCAATCTTGTATGTATGTGCCCCATTTGTATCTGTTCTTTTAACCTTTGTTTCCCACTATAGCTGCACACCTGCAAATAAGATGTTATTTGTCTTAATAATTCTTAATACAAGTCCTATTATGTTATAGAATTTTACATTTGTAATTTACAATTGACATCTTAATCCTAAAGAAAGACCAGTGGAATTCTTAATCTTTCCATTTTAAAATAATCATAAAAGTAAAGACCTCTCTCCTGAATTTAAGTTGCTTTATAGCTTTAAATATTGTCACTGTTAACATCGGTTGTTAAACCCATATTAATGCATGCTATCTGCATAAAAAGCCTCCTTTAAAAATTTGAAGTTTTTTTTTCATGAAAATGTCCAAAAACAAGATAATTTCATAGTAACAAATAATACTCGTTTGTCCCAAGAGCCAACTCCTTAGCTCATCATGTGGAAGTGTCCAACCCTTTGAGACTCCATGGACTCTGGGGTCCGCCAGGCTCCTCTGTCTGTGGAATTCTCCAGGTGAGAATACTGGAGTGGGTTGCCATGTCCTCCAGGAGATCTTCCCAACTCAGGGATTGAACCTGGGTCTCCTGCATTGCAGGCAGATTCTTTACCCTCTGAGCCACCAGGGGAGCCCCCTGGCACCATGGACTGTAATAAATAAACATGTTATGATTAGATTTTTAAGAAATCACGTTAAAAGAATGCACACATTGGGAGCTTTGGTTTAGTGCTGAGAGAGAATGTCAGGTGACTTGATAAGGAAACTCATCTGGGAACACTGGAAGGGGAGCAGCTTTCACCATGGGTCTCAATTCCCTGTATCCCCTAGAATTAGTCACTCCTATAGCTGGAAGTCACAGCTCACTGTCTGTAGCCATGGAAACTTGGCCCATTTCTGGAACGAAGTGAATGAGGGCTTTCATGTCAGTTCTGCATTCAAGTCATTACTAAGGTGACCCGGCAAGTCATTTAAACTCTTGTCTGCAAACTGGCCCTCATAGCATTGTGTGTAGTATATATGTTAGATATGGGGTTCTAGTTTTTACCTCTGCAATCCAAACAATTCATGTTAGAAAGCACCGAACTACTTAGAGAAGTTTGAATTCTCCATTTCCTGTGAACACAATTCAAAAACATAGCTGATTCAGAATACTACCTCACTGAGATTAACAGTACAAGCTTTTCATAATTAAAGCATGAAGTCAACAGCTGTCCTTTTCACCTGTCTGCTTTTTGCCACCGCTGCTCAGAATAATTCCAATCCAGTTCTAAGAACAGAGGAAGTTCTTCCCTTGCCTGCTTATGTCATCAAATTCCTTTCCTCTGTATCAACTATCATCCCTGTAGTATCTGTAGGTCTTTGCCACAGCCATTCGAGCTGTAGCTTAATGATCTATTTAAAACATTAATCACATGTTGCTCTAATACATAAAGTTTCCAAGGGTTTCTCATTTCGCTCCACAAACCCTTGACTTGGGCTGTGTAGGACCTGACCCTTGCCAGCTTCTTCCATCCATCAAGGCGTTTCCTCTTCCTCAAGTGTGCACCTCTATTCCAAAGTCTTCCCACTTGTCCTCCCTGCCTGGGATGCCTTTCCTCCAGATCATCGTTCAGGTCCCCCCTCCAGAGTCGTCTCTCCAGAAGGGCCTTCTTTTCACACCCTATCTAAAAACAAGCCACTCTGACACTCCCCCTCACCCGCCCCATCATGTTCTGTTTCTTAGCTAGCCCTAACTTTCTCATAATGCCTGCCACTATCTGAACTTCCCTTATTTTGTCACTGACTTTCTTTTATTAATAGAATATAAGCTTCAAGATAAGCTTCAAGAGAGCAGCAGAACTGTGGTTCATTCACTATTGTAATGCCCCTTATCTAATCCTACAGCAATGCCTGACTTGTATTCAGTTCAGTTCAGTTGCTCAGTCGTGTCCGACTCTTTGCGACACCATGAATCGCAGCATGCCAGGCCTCCCTGTCCATCACCAACTCCTGGAGTTTACTCAAGCTCATGTCCATCGAGTCGGTGATGCCATCCAGCCATCTCATCCTCTGTCATCCCCTTCTCCCCCTGCCCTCAATCCCTCCCAGCATCAGGGTCTTTTCCAATGAGTCACCTCTCTGCATCAAGTGGCCAAAATATTGGAGTTTCAGCTTCAACAACAGTCCTTCCAATGAACACCCAGGACCGATCTCCTTTAGGATGGACTGGTTGGATCTCCTTGCAGTCCAAGGGACTCTCAAGAGTCTTCTCCAACACCACAGTTCAAAAGCATCAATTCTTTGGTGCTCAGCTTTCTTCACAGTCCAACTCTCACATCCATACATGACTACTGGAAAAACCATAGCCTTGACTAGACGGACCTTTGTTGGCAAAGTAATGTCTCTGCTTTTTAATATGCTATCTAGGTATGACTTGTATTAGGATATGCGATAAAAATAATGAGGAGTGGATTTCACAGATGCTAATTCACTGAGTAGCACTTTTCAGCCCTCATCTTTCAAGTTTTGAGCATGTGTTCTTTTTTCCAGCTGCCCTTCTATGAACACGTCTATTCCTTTCACAAGGTTCTAGGGCTCCAGAGCTCGCAGACTGCAGGGGGCAGATAGAGAAACAACAGCCCGGGGGGAGCGCACTGGCGGGTGCTGGGCCAAATCTTAGCTCACACAGGTATTTGGTTTGTACAATGTTTGTTTCAGGTGAACTAGATGCTAACATTTTTAAATTGGAAATACATAAAAACCTAAGCCTCCAACTTTTCTAAAAATCGGAATACATGAGATCTACAACCCCTCAAGGCAACACCTGACCTGAGCCCAGCAGCCCTCTGGGCGGGGTGTGCATACCACAGTGTGGTGTATTTCTGCCAGCTCCCTCTTAATTGCAACAGCGAAGCAGGTGTCAACTTAAATCCATCACTGTTGATGGGGGTGTCTTTCTGGGATCCTGCTCCTTTTGTTCACAGATGTTACCTGCCCGAACCTGACATCTCAAAAGATAACCCAAGGCCTATATGAACCCCCACATCTGTGAACATGGCAGTGTGCACCTAGGCTCCTGGGTCAGTTGAAAATCAGATTATTTATAGTGCCCAACATCTCTTCTAGTTAACTGCAGTGCAATGTGTTTACCCGTTCAAACTGGAATTCCTCACTCAAGCAGTTCTTGCATTGCTGGAGCACTTGCAGAAAAATTCCACAAATGGATCCTTCTGTTTTTACACAGAACATGTGACACATCAGGTCTTTGTACAGATCACAAGGCATGTCATAAATCTAAGCCACCATGAAGTGAAATTAATCCACCCTTAATTAGGAAACTGATTTTCTACTCAACATATATTCTTTCTTGGGCTTTTTCAAACAGACCCAAGTTTCATTCATTTAACAATTAGCTGCAACCTAGACTAGTGTTGAAATTGTTTAGTCATGCTTTCGGCCACTAGCAGACCATACGTTTTTTGAGCTGTGTTGCCAATATCTTAAAAATATACACGCATATTTGGGGGTGTGGTATGGTTGATTTACAATGTTAGTTTCAGGTGTATAAGGGTAATCCACCATTTTTAAAGGTTATGCTCCCATTTATAGTTGTTATAACATATTGGCTATGTTCCCCATGCTGTACAGTATACCCTTGTAGCTTATTCATTTCACACATAATAGTCTGTACTTCTTAATCCTCTACCTCTGTCTTGCTGCCGTCCCCTTCCCTCTTCCTGCTGGTAACCACTTGTTCTCTACTGTCGGTGAGTCTTTTTGTTATGCTCACTAGTTTTATTTTTTATATTCCACATAGAAATGATATACAGCATCTTTTTCTCTGACTTATTTCACTAAATATAATGCCTTCCAGGTTCACGCATGTTGTTGCAAATGGCAAGATTTTGTTCTTTTTACGGCTAAGTAGTATTCTATTATGTATATATATCCCACATCTTTATCCATTCAGGTGTTGATGACACGTAGGTTGCTTCCATATCTTGGCTATTGTAAATAATGCTGCTGTGAACATTGGGGTACATTTATCTTTTCAAATTAGTGTCTTCATTTTTTTCAGATCATGTGATAGTTCTATTTTCAGGTTCTGAGGAACTTTTATAATGTTTTCTACAGTGGCTGTACCAATTTATATTCCTATCAATAATGTACAAGGGTTCCCTTTTCTCCCCATCCTCTTCAACATTGGTTAATTGTTTATGGTCTTTTTGATGGAGCAGACCATCTTTTTGATGGTCTTTTTGTGTGTATACCTTATACACAATTGAAATTGAGTCAGCCAAGCTTCAAAACAGTCAAATTGCAAATGTCAGGTTTCTACTGTGATTGCATAACATGCCTGATGAAAGCTTTTCTGAGAGGTTCCTAACTACAGAAAGAAGGGCTGGGAGAGAGGGGCTTCCCTGGTAGCTCAGTGGTAAAGAACCTGCCTGCCAATACAGGAGACGGAGGTTTGATCCCTGGTTTCAGAATATCCCACCTGCTGTGGGGCAGCTAAGCTTGTGCACCACAACTGCCAAGCCTGTGCTCTAGAGCTGGGGAATCACAACTGCTGAAGCCTGAGCTCCCTAGAGCCCACGCTCCGCAGCAAGAGACACCACCGCGATGAAAAGCCTGGGCAGCCCAACTAGAGAGCAGCCCCCGCTCGCTGCAGCTAAAGAAAAGCCCGTGCAGCAAGATCAACACAAACCAAAATAGTAAAAAAGAAGGGCAGAGAAAGTTGATGTCTAGATATGTGGCAGATACATAAAAAATTAATACCTACTTGCAGGGTACTTGCTATCCGGGTGGAGACAGTTTTTCTTTTTTTAAAGGTAAATAACATCCAAAATAAAGCTGAGTATATTTTCAGGTCAAGCAAGCAGAACACTGAGAGCTGAGCTAAGGCAGGAAGAGGGACTGGGATTGCTGTGGCCTCGCAGCTTGGAAATTTCAGGGGAGAGGGGTTGTGGCTGGGCCTAGGATGGGAAGGATTTAAAAGGACAAGGAGAAAGAGGTGGTATAATCTCAAGGCAAGGCTCGATGTCCGGACTCGGATAGCTGGGAGTGCACCCCAGGGCAGACATGAGGCTGGCTTGCTCTAACAGGAAGGGCTTGCGCAGGAAAGCGTGAACTAATGTTGGAGCAGAAATGGCGAGGCTTATGGAGTCAGATTGCCTGGGCTCAAGGCTTAGCCTTTCTACTTACTAGCTGTCTACTTTTGTACACTACTTAACCACTCTAAGCTGTCATAGCCCAGCCACAGAATGAGTCATGAACCTGCTCTATTCAGGTGTTAGGAGGATTAAAGGAAATAATGCATATAATCTTGTGGTAAATGTTAAATAAATGATGCGATTATCATTATTAATATCATCAGAGGCTTGTGGATGCCGGACTGAGATAGACCAGACAGCCCTTTTAAGCATGTGGGTGACTATTATTTCCCTAGGGCAGACTAACAAATTACCACAAACTTGATGACTTAAATGTCTTCCCTCACAGTTCTGGGGGTTAGAAGTCTGGAATCAAGGTGTTGGCAGAACCATGCTCCCTCTGAAGGTTCTAAGGAAGAATGCTTTCTTGATTATTTGTAGCTTCTCCCAGCAGTCCTTGGCATTCTAATCCTACCTGCATTCCCTGCCTCCCTCTTCATGTGGCCTTTTTCTCTGTATGTGTCCTCTCTTCCTCCTCCTCTTTTGTTAAATAATTTAGCTGTTTTATTTTTAATTAACTTTTTTTTTTTTGGCCATGACACAAGGCATGCAGGGTCTTAGTTCCCTAATGAGGGATTGAACCTGTGCCCCCTGCAGTAGAAGGGCAGAGTTTTAACCACTGGACTGCCAGGGAAGTCCCCCTTTTCTCTTATAAGGACACAAGTCATTGGATTTAGGGCCCAGCCTAATTCAGCATGACCTCATTGTAACTAATTACATCCACAAAGACTATGTCCAAATAAGGTCACATTCTAAGCGTCTACATGGATGTGAATTTTGGGGGGACACTATTCAGTATGGGGACATAAGAAAAATAACACTGAAGTTGAAAACATTTTAGAAAACATTTTGAAGTTAGATATAAAAGAGTAGGCAAAAATACTACAAATAATTCCTGTATATCCTTCACCCAGTGTTTCCAAATAGTAACATCTTACCACACTTGCTCTATCACTCTCTCCCTGTCCGTGTGTATGTAATGGATTCTCTCGTGTGTCTGAGATGAAGTTGTTGCGGTCACTGTGTCCTTTTACCCATATACGTATACAATAATACAGCAGTGAAGAAGGTAGAGTAGAAAGACGGGCCCTCGTCTTCTGAGAAGTTGCAACTTGCTGCAGAACAACCACTGACAGGAGAAGGTTGGAACCCATCGGAAAAGACACCCCACACCCAAGGGCCAAGAGGCAGCTGCAGCAAGACAGCAGGAGGGGTGCAATCATGTTTAAAATCTAACCCAAGCCCACCAGCGGTGCTTGGATGGCACAGACAAAACTCTGCATGCACCAGGACCCCGCGAAAGGTGCAGTGACCCCACAAGAGACTGAGCCAGGCCTGCCTGTGAGTGCGCGAGCGTCTCCGGAGGAGGCACGGGTCAGCAGTGGCCCGCTGCGGGGCCAGGGCGGCGGCAGTCCTGCAGGCGGGGTGGGTGGCTCAGGTCCCGCTTGGAGGAGGTCGCCGTTAGCACCACCACTGACCTGCCAGGTGGGGGATATGCAAACTGGGGAACAATTACACCAAAGAAATTCTAGCACTGTTGCGAAAATTCTAGGGCTCGCAACAGACTTCCCACGCTGGGAATCCAGTAAAAGGGACTGAGAATCCCCAGGGAATCTGACTTTAAAGGTCAGCAGAATTCGATTACAGAACTTCCACAGGACTGGGGAAAGGGAGACTCTTGGAGGGCACAAACAGAACCTTGTGCCCACCAGGACCCAGGAGAGGGGAGCAGTGACCCCACAAGAGAGACAGCCAAATGGCCTCTGAGTATCTGGGAGTCTCTGATGGAGGTGTGGGTCGACAGTGGCCTGCTGCAGGGTCAGGGACACTGACAGAAGCAGTCCTAGGAGGCATAGCATGCTGCCATAAATCCTTAGGAAGGAGGTCTCCATTACCCCTACCATAGTTTGGCTTAAGGCCAAACTACAGGGGGGGGAACACAGCCCCACTCATCAGCAGAAAATTAAAGATTTACTGAGCCTGGCCTTGCCCATCAGAGAAAGACCTAGTCTTCCCCACAGCCAGTCCCTCCCTTCAGGAAACCTGCACAAGCCTCTTATCCTCATCTACCAGAAGGCAGACAGAATGAAAACCAGTCACAGAAAACTAACCAAAATGATCACATGGATCAGAGTTTTGTGTAACAAACTATAAGCCATGCAGTGTGGGGCCACCCAGACAGATGGGTCATGATGGAAAGTTCTCACAAAACATGGTCCACTGGAGAAGGGAATGGCAAACCACTTCAGTATTCTTGGCTTTGAGAACCCCAGAATCAGTATGAAAAGGCAAAAAGATAGGACACTGAAAATGAACCCCCCCTGCCAGGTTGGTAGCTGTCCATTATTCTACTGAAAAAGAGCAGAGAAATAGCTCCAGAAGAAATGAAAGGGCTGTGCCAAAGCTGAAATGATGCCCAGCTGTGGAGGTGTCTGGTGGTGAAAATAAAGTCTGATGCTGTACAGAACAATATTGCATGGGAACCTGGAATGTTAGGCCCATGAATTAAGGTAAATTGGAAGTGATCAAACAGGAGAAGGCAAGAGTGAACACTGACATTTTAAGAATCAGTGAACTAAAGTGGACAAGAAGGGTGAATTTAACTCAGACGACCATTATATCTAATACTGTGGGCAAGAATCCTTTAGAAGAAATGGAGTGGCCATCACAGTCAACAAGAGTCTGAAATGTAGTACTTAGATGCAATCTCAAAAATGACAGAATGATCTCTGTTCATTTCCAAGGCAAACCATTCAACATCACAGTAACCCAAGTCTGTGTCCCAACCAGTAACGCTGAAGATGATGAAACTGAATGGTTCTATGAAGACTTACAACACCTTCTAGAACTAACACCCCAAAAGAGATGTCCTTTCCATCATAGGAGACTGGAATGCAAAAGTAGGAAGCAAAGAGATATCTGGAGTAACAGGGAAATTTGGCCTTGGAGTACAAAATGAAGCAGGACAAAGGCTAACAGAGTTTTGCCAAGAGAACACACTGGTCATAGCAATACCCTTTTCCAACAACACAAGAGATGACTCTACATATAGACATCACCAAATAGCCAATACCAAAATCAGACTGATTATAATCTTGCAGCCAAAGATGGAGAAGTTTTATACAGTCAACAAAAACAAGACCAGGAGCTGACTATGGCTCAGATCATGAACTCCTTATTGCAAAAATCAGACTAAAATTGAAGAAAGTAGGGAAAACCACTAGGCCATTCAAGTATGACCTAAATCAAATCTTTAGGTTTATACAGTGGAAGTGACAAAGATATTCAAAGGATTAGATCTGACAGAGTGCCTGAAGAACTATGGACAGAGGTTTGTAACATTGTACAGGAGGCAGTGACCAAAGCCATCCCCAAGAAAAAGAAATACAAAAAGGTAAAATGGTTGTCTGAGGAGGCCTTACAAATAACTGAGAAAAGAAGAGAAGTGAGAGGCAAAGGAGAAAAAGATATACCCATCTGAATGCAGAATTCCAAAGAATAGCAAGGAGAGATTTTAAAAAAAGTCTTCCTAAGTGAACAATGCAAAGAAATAAAGGAAAACAATAGAATGGGAAAGACAAGATCACTTCTAGAAAATTTAGAGATACCAAAGTAACAGTTCATGCAAAGAACTGTTAAATACAATAAAGGACAGAAATGGTATGGACCTAACAGAAGCAGAAGATATTAAGAGGAGGTGGCAAGAATACACAGAACTGTACAAAGAAGGTTTTAATGACCTGGATAAACATGATGGTACAATCACTCACCTTGAGTCAGACATGATGGAGTGTGAAGCCAAATGGACCTTAGGAAGCATTATTATGATGGAATTCCAGCTGAGCTATTTCAAATCCTAAAAGATGATTCTGTGAAAATGCTGCACTCAATATGCCAGAAAATATGGAAAACTCAGCAGTGGCCATAGGACTGGAAAAGGTCAGTTTTCACTCCAGTCCCAAAGAAGGGCAATGACAAAGAATGTTCAAACTACCACACAATTGCACTCATTTCACCTGCTAGGAAGGTAATGCTCAAAATCCTTCAAACTGGGCTTTAGCAGTACATGAACTGAGAACTTCAGATGTTCAAGCTGGATTTAGAAAAGGCAGAGGATCCAGAGATCAAATGCCGACATCCACTGGATCATAGAAAAAGCAAGGGAATTCCACTAAAACATCTACTTCTGCTTCACTGACTGTTAAATCTTTTGTGTGGATCACAACAAACTGGGGAAAATTCTTACAGATGAGAATACCAGACCACCTTGTCTTCTGAGAAACCTGTATGCAGGTCAAGAAGCAAGTTAGAACTGGACATGGAAAAATGGACTGGTTCCAAATTGGTAAAGGAGTACATCAAAGCTGTATATCGTCACCCTGCTCATTCAATTTATATGCAGAGTACATCATGCAAAATGCTAGGCTGCATGAAGCACAAGCTGGAATCAAGACTTCCAGGAGAAATATCAATAACCTCAGATATGCAGATGACACCACCCTAATGACAGAAAGTGAGGAGGAACTAAAGAGCCACTTGATGAAGGTGAGAGAGTGAAAAAGCTGGCTTAATTTTTGACATTCCAAAAAAACTAAGATCATAGCATACAGTCCCATCACTTCATGGCAAATAGATGGGGAAACAATGGAAACAGTGAGATACTTTATTTTCTTGGGCTCCTAAGTCATTGCGGACAGTCATGAAATTAAAAGGTTCCTGCTCCTTGGAAGAGAAGCTATGAAAAACCTAGACAGCATCTTAAAAAGCAAAGACATCACTTTGCTGACAAAGGTCTGTCTGGTCAAAGCTATGGTTTTTTGACTAGTAGTCATGTATGGATGTGAGAATTAGACCATAAAGAAAGATGAACTCTGAAGAATTGATGCTTTTGAACTGTGGTGTTGGACAAGACTCTTGAGAGTCCCTTGGACAGCAAGGAGGTCAAACCAGTCAATTCCTGAAGAAAATCAACCCTGAATATTCATTGGAAGGACTGATGCTGAAGCTGTAGCTCCAATACTTGGGCTACCGATGTGAAAAGTTTACTCATTGGAAAAAAATTCTGATTCTGGGAAAGATTGAAGGCAGGAGGAAAAGGGAGCGACAGAGAATGAGATGGTTGGATGGCATCACTGCCTCAATGGACACGAATTTTAACAAACTGCAGGAGACAGTGAAAGAGGAGTCTGGTGTGCTGTAGTCCGTGGGGTCGCAGTCAGAGAGGACTGAGCGACTGAACAACCGAGTGACTTTTTAAGGTCCAAATAACTACACTGCCAGCTCTTAGGGCTCTTCATGGCTGTAATCTCCAAGCCAGGACAACCTCTCTTCCTCATGATTCCCGTGCTCTGAACAAGCTCTTCTTTCCTGACCGGAGCCCGAAGTAGTAACAACTACAGCCGCCACTACAGGTCACTGTTTGGCTGGGCGCAGTAGAAGATCTCACTCTGCTCAGCGGACTCGCAAGCCTTGTTGTAAACACAGTAAGGACGCCTGTTTTCCCAGGCAGCAGCGTCGGTGTCTTTAGACGGGTCCACTTAAGCCTCCTCTGGGCCCTTCTTCAGACTTGAAGCCTTGACAACAACTCTCAGAGCATATATGCCTCTGCTAAATTCTGCCCGCAGAATAAAGACAGTAATCCTAATTTACATCAGCACTACGCTCCAGGAGCTGCTCTGTTTCACGTATATTAATTCGTTTAACATCTTTTAGAAAACCCTATGGTGGTGGTGGGTGGGAACCCATGCGGAGGTGGTGTCACCCAGCTACTAAGTGGTTGGGCCAGGATTCAAATCGAAACAGTTTGTCCATATACTGAACCAGCATCCACCTGCCCAGCTTTGCTCGAGTCCCATTTTCATCACATCTTCCCACATCAAGCCTGGAATCGCTGGCCTCTTTATAAGTACTCACACAATGAAGTTTGAAACTGTCCAGTCTTTCAGCAGAGGACGCAGCTCACCCGCTGTGCCCTGGGAATGCGTCCAACAGCCGCGCTGAAGCCCACACCCCGTGCAGCCCGCCCTGGCGGCTGCAAGCCGGCCAGTCCTGGGATGGGCTCCCCACGACCCTCCGGCCCCACTGCCAACCTGTCAGCGTCATGCCCGGAGGACCCAAGGCCGCCAGCTTCCTCCCACTGGGCCCTCGCTTCCCAGAAGCAGTAGCTGCTTGCTTTGGAAGCTGCTTCAGATCAAGCCCCCCCAAAAGGAACCTGCAAAGGTCCGCGACCCACTTTTCCTTTTTTGCAGTGCGTGGTGGGAAGGGCGTGGGTTGTGCATTTGAAGCCTGTTGGTCTTGCTCTGGGCTGAGTGGCCTTGGATAGCATTGCTTAACTCCTCTGAGCTGTGAGTTTCCTCATCTGTGGGTAGACAGAACGTTTCCTTGGATGATGTAAGCATTAACGATAAAGGGCACTGGTATGGGATAGGGCGCGCCTGACAGATTTGACTACTATCATTTCCTTAAACGCACAGCCCACCTCCCACCCATCAGGAAAGCTGACCCTGATGTCGTGGCCTCGGTCGAGCTCTCCTTTATCCCCAAACACCGGTGCTTCTTATTCCTTGTATTAGTTGTTGAGCAATGAAAACACTGGCAAGTGTCACTTCTTGTGCCTGGCCTAGTCCTCCAACTCGACTCCAATCAGAGCTGGGACTGTCCTTTATATACGCTGTAGATGCCTCGTCTTAACCAGGGTCTCAGAACAGTGTCAGCACACTCCTGTTGATGACAGAAACTGAAGTCAGTTCGTAAGTATTTATGCACCATTTACCAAGTGTCAGGCAATGTTCCAGACCCTGGGAACAGAAAGTGAAAGTCCCTCAGTCGTGTCTGACTCTTTGTGACCCCATGGACTGCAGCCTGCCAGGCTTCCTCTGTCCATGGGGATTCTCCAGGGCAGAATACTGGGGTGGGTAGCCATTCCCTTCTCCAGGGAATCTTCCCAACCCAGGGATCAAACCCAGGTCTCCCACATTGCAGGCGGATTCTTTACCAGCTGAGCCACCAGGGAAGCCCCAGAGAGGGGATTAAAACCCAGCCCCTCAACTGTAAATTGATACAGCCACTATGGAAGATGGTATGAAGATTCCTTAAAAAACTAGGAATGACTACCACATCACCCAACAATCCCTCTACTGGACATACATCCTGAGGAAACCGTAATTGAAAAAGACACATGTACTCCAATGTTCACTGCAGCACTATTTACAATAGCTAGGACATGGAAGCAACCTAGATGTCCACTGACAGATGAATGTGGTACATATATACAATCGAATATTACTCAGCCATAAAAAGGAAGACATTTGAGTCAGTGCTAATGAGGTGGATGAACCTAGAGCCTATTATACAGAGTGAAGTAAGTCAGAAAGAGAAAAACAAATATCATATATTAACACATATATATGGAATCTGGAAAGATGGTACTGATGAACCTATTTGCAGGGCAGCAATGGAGACGCAGACAGAGAGAACAGACTTATGGACACTGGAGCAGGAGAGAAGGAGAGAGTGAGATGAACAGAGAGAGTAGCATGGAAACATATACATTACCATATGTCAACTAGATAACCAATGGGAATTTGCTGCATAACTCAGGGGACTCAAACCGGGGTTCTGTAACAACCTGGAGGGGTGGGATGGGAAGGGAGGTGGGGGGGAGGTCCAAGAGGAAGGGGACACATGTATACCTATGGCTGATTCATGCTGATGTGGCAGAAACCAACACAACATCGTAAAGCAATTATCCTTCCATTAAAAATAAAAGAGAACATCCCCCTAAAAAAATAAACAATAAAAAAAATAAATTAAAAAGCCCAGCCCATGCACTAAAGGAACTCCTGCTATGGCTAAAGTTCTGCAAAGGCCTGGAGCACCTTATATACGTTTCCAAGCATCCAGCTCCCAGGGGAGGACTTTCTTGGTCAAGGCAGCCTGGTTCACTGCGTCTCAAACAGAGGTAAAAGTCACATCCACAGCCCAGAGCCTTTCACCCTGGAGAACACACAGCAAGGCCTCTTGTGCCCCAGGACCTTGGGGCCACTCCGGGCCTCACAGGAGTTTCCTTAAAACCAGCCAGCAGCGCCTGCTCTCACAGAGGGTTAAGAGATGGTAAAATCAGGGAGCGTCGTGCTCCCCTCACCACAAGGCGGCAGTGTTGGACCGCAGACCGCACAGACCTCGGCCAGAGATGAGCCCCGGTGACTCACTCCAGCAATGCATGATCCGTTCTTGGGTGGAGTGGAAAAAGAGGGAGAGAACGGGTTGGAAAAAATGAAACCAACTGGTGAATTCGCAAGTTGCCACCGTCATGAGTCCAACCAATGTTCAACTGACCAAGTATTTTTAGTGCAAAGAAATAAGGTAATTTGAGGGTTTTCAGAAGACAAGCGCCGCCCAGGAGGCGAAACGATACCTGCAGAAATACTGCGTATTAGCAAGCGCTTTCCTCTTCCCTTTGCAAAACGGCAGTTTTTTTTTCCTTCCAGGAGAAGGAAGGCTTTCAGAAGTTAAAAGAAACACAGTTGACCAAATAGCACTCCCCTCCCCCACAAGTGAATAAAGAAACTTCCCTCTATCTGGGTTCAGAACTGGCAAGCAACCTCATTGTGGGCAGTTCATAAATATTCATCGATGATGAAAATGTCGAGAGTGCGCAAAGGAACCATTTTTGTCATTTCGAGAACCCTTCTGAAATGCCAGCAATTGAAGCAAGATCTCCACTATCCTTGGCAAACCTTGAACAAGAAGAGCCCAGTTCAGCTGGTCCCATGGGAAGAAACCGAATAAGGACGGTGGATGAACCTCCCTCCCAAAGTCTGGGGTTGTGACTGCCCTTACAGACAGCAGAGCGAACTGAAGTCCTGGGTGGGATTTTTTTAAACAACCACTCCCAAAACATCCAAGTCCCTAGGATTCCGTGAATCCACTTTGTGGGAAAAAACCACCCGGCATCCCCCCTCCCAGAACAAGCAGGCAGCCAGCGCCTGTGGGCACACAGCTGAGGTCGGTGCAGGTCATGATGGTGCGTCTATCACTTTACACTGTCCTGATCACGCTGCGTCAGCTGAACTGAGCGCCACTCAGAGAGAACAGGCTGAAACCATCACATTGGTATGTCATCCCGTCAAGGTCTGTTTGTTTTGGCCCGGGGAACACCTGGCCTCGGCCCCTGTGATCTCCATAAACAGAGGGGACGACACTTCAGTAACCATCGCCTGGACTGCCTGGGATGGAGAAGCTGGGCTCTGGCAGGACTGTGGCTGTAGGGCTTGGAGCCCTTCCATCAGAAAGCGGCCCCTACACAGACCTCTTTCTGGCGTCTGAGGAACACTCTCCATCTGCAGCCAGCTGACTCAGGCCAGAGTCGGGGTGGGGCAGCCGCAGCTTGGGCGTGGGCCTGGGCTATCTTAGGCCTGCACCAGAGCAGCCCTATTTCCTCACACCGGCCCTCGAGGGGGACGGGGTGGCCGGGAGTGCCCTCCTCCCTGCCCCCTGAGGCTTTCCAGTTGTTCCAGGCTCCTTGGCACTGGGTGGAGCGGGGTGGTGGTTGTTCAGTTGCTCAGTCGTGTCTGGCTCTTTGTGACCCCATGGACTGCAACACGCCAGGCTTCCCTGTCCTCCACTATCTCCTGGAGTATACTCAAACTCACGTCCACTGAGTCATCCAGCCATCTCATCCTCTGTCTTCCCCTGCTCCTCCTGCCTTCAATCTTTCCCAGCATCAGGGTCTTTTCTAATGGGGGTGGGGGTGGCAGTGGGGTCTGAGGCTAAAGCCATGATGGGAGGGACAGTAGGAGCCGAAGCCTCTCTCATGGACTCAAGCCCACAGCCAACATAGCGGGGTCTCGGTGTGCAGGCCGGGCCCGGAGAACCAAGGCACCGCCATGCTTGCAGCCCTCTGACCCCTGCCTTGCAGACACAACTGTTTCCAGCACTCCTCTCCCCTCCCTATCGCCACCCACCTTGTCAAAACCCTCCCTTTCATTCATCCCTGCAGACACCGTGCAAAGCAGACCTGGGCTGAGAGAGGTGAGCTGTGGCCCCCTCCTCACACACCCAGAAGGACAGGAAGGAAGAGAGCATTAACCAAGTTTGTGCTCTATGCCAGAAGCTTAGGACACAGGATTTCAGTCCCGGCCTCTCACCTCAGCGGAAGGCCGCGTTGTTCCCATAAGAAGCGGCTGAGGGCAGGGCGGCTGCCACCTGTGCTCGAAGTCCAGCTCTGCCGTGCCCCTGGGCGGTGATGTAACCTCTGGGCCACCTCACCGGGAAGTGGGAATTGGGCCGTTGTGAGCAGGGGAGGAGCGAACTTATGTGAAAAGTGCTGAGAGCATTAGCATTATGTATTATTAGCTCCACATGTTAAGGACGGGGAACCAGAGCCCAGGGAGCAGGTATCAAGTGCGGATTATGGTGGGCTCCATGCAAATGCTCCCCCTAATTTCATGCAGTTTCTTTTAAACATTGTGAATTGTGGTCCCCTCCCAGGGATGGTTACACTGAGCCCGACCAGCGTGTGTGGAGGAGAACATGGACAGCCAGGGCGCATCCCCTTCTCGGGGCATGAAGGCCCCGCCTGCTGTCGAGGGGCTGGCCCCGGATGCTCCTTTTCCTCTTCTTGGACAGAATTATGACTCTAACCACCTAAGCTCCACCGCTATCCTAAAATCTGAGTCGTTTTCCCTGAAAATATGGCAGAGGTGGAATTTAAACCCAAGCCCGCCCAGTCTCTCCATTCTTTTCTTGGTCAGTTGCCCACAGTGGCCCGGACGTCTGTGCAGACAAACGAGGCCACAGGGGTTGACACGGGGGCGACGTGGCCTCCACATGTGCCGTGGAGGGAGGGAACAGGAAACTGGGATGGAGGCCAGGGCTGGGGGCACATGGATGCACAGCTAAGTTATCTAATTGCTCAGTTTATAAATCAGCCAACCAGATGATGATCCGCACTCACCTAACATGCTACAGGGGGCTCCCTTCAGCCCCAGAGCAGAAAGGCATCCAGAGGTGTCTGGGGTCCGGCACACTGTGGTCTCAAGGGTGAGCAGCATTTTTCGGGAGCTTGTCTCATGCTCTGAGTCAATACTCTCCCAATTAGTTTTGTGATCCTTGCCAAATCTCTCAGCCTCTCTGAACCTCAGTTTATTAATGCATAAAGCCTGCCATGTAATCCCTATCTTACAGGGATTTCCGACAGTTATGTGATTTGACATATGCAAAAAAGGCTAGGAGCTGGCATGCAAGAAATGTTTATGAAATGTGTTTTCCCAGCCTGTGAGAACCCACATACAATCTGAGTTTCACCCCCGAGATGAAAGACCTGGAAGAAGGCTTTCTGTACACCTGCTGGAATGTTCATGTCTTCGTGTCATTCCACTGCACTGCGGGTATCACAAGCCCTTCTCAGCAAAGCAGGCACCTACGATGGGGTGTCGACTGCCCTCCTGGGTCCCCAAGGCCTCTGTGACGAAGCTGCCCACCTGCCCCTCCACGCTTTTCAGCGTTGTGCTCACCACACTGACAACATTCATCTCAGTTCTGCCCACCATCCTGCCTGTTTAGGACAGGGGAGAGAACATGGGGCCAGAGGGGACCATGGAGAGAAGCCTCCAGAAGGCCCATGGCCTTTTATTCCTGTCCCAAGGCCGGGAGGCCGAGTCTAAAGAGAAGCTCCTCAGAGAGGCCTGGGAAGGGGCCAGGGAGGGGCATGCAGAGCTCTCTGGAATGTCCAAGGCTCTCAAGGAATCTGTCAGATTCCTTTCCTTGAGAAGGGAAAAAGAAAGTGGTAACTAGGTTAAAGGGCACGAGTTTTCATATGATTATTCATCACAACTAGAGGGTGACCGTTGACTAGATTACTAATCCCACAGGTATGGAGGGAAAAGGCTTGTTGGCTTTTTTGCCGTGTTTTCCTCCCCACCATGCAAGGGTGGGGCCCAGCACTCAAAGGTGGCGGGTGTCAGGGGGTGGGGGAGTTGGAGGGATTGAAGCCAGAATCCTCCAGCTTAAGCTTTGGTTCCCCTCTCACCAGCATGTGACCCTTTAGGCCCCAAATTCCTCATCTGAAAACAGGGGCAGTTGCCACCTGGGGCTGCACTGCACATTCTGTGAGAACATTTCTCATAAAGAGGGAACCCAGCCATTATTATTAATATGCAGGAGCCCTAATTTCTCTCCAAGCCAACTAGTGCTGTCTCAATATCAGCAAAGAGAAAGGTAGCTATTTATCAAGCCATTTTGTAATCTTTGGGGATTTTATAAGGCTTTTTAAAGACTGAAGAAAAGCAGCCAAATTGCTTCAGTTTCTGCATCTGTTCCTCCATTTATCTCCATCATCTTGGGGGAAAACATGGGCCCTTTGGGGGAAGGCCTTGGCAGGTGGCCTCCGTCAGGCCCCCAGGCAGGCCTTCCCACCGGCTTGGAGGGGCAGCCAGCTAGCGGGTAGCCGCCCAAGGAAGGGTGAGCTCGGACAGGCCACCTGAGACCTTGGGTCCAGGGCTGCCTTGTACTCGTTTGCCTTCATGGGCCACTGCCTCCATTAAAACAATATTTTAAAATATATTTTATGACTGCACTGGTATAAAAGTAGTTCAGATCCACCGCCGGGTTATTACATATTCATCCTTAATTTCTCTGATGGTTTGGAGAAAACCAAAATAGAATTGGAAATAGGCGAATTACAAGGAGCGGTTTGGCCTCTAGGGGGCAGCACGAGCTCGCCAGATGCTTCTGTGACCTGGGCTGGCGGGGAAACCGTGGGTGAGGACCCAGCAGCGACTCCCACCGCTGACTCACAAAGGCCTTTTGCTTCTCCCAGCGCCTCCTCGGAGAAGGCTGTGTTCGCGCCTCTCACCCTCAGCCCAGGAAGCCGACGGGCGGAGCGGAGTTACTGCCCCACTCGGGGCAGAGAGGCTCACCCTGGGAGGCGCAGGGCCGCGCGGGGTCACACGGTGGCAGAGGCGGAGCCCGACCAGAACTTCCTGGCGGCTCCTGCCAGAGTCTCCCTCGGAGCCCCGGCAGGCAGGATGCTCCGCAGCCCCGAGAAGTTGGTGACGTGGCTCAGCCCTGCCGCGTCCCCCACCCCAACACTGGCGGGCAGGGAGCAGCCGCCCCTTCCCTCCCCCCCCCCCATGCCTTTGTTCACTCGCTCTGCCTACCCACCCCCCACCCCCGACTCCCCCAGGGTCTGGCCGGTGGGAGAAGTTCGCTCTGCTCCCCCCGAACTGAGCCGGACATCAAAGGCGCGCGCGGGGGACAGGACGAACCCGGTGCAGCGCAGGGGGTGGGGGGTGGCTGGGGGCCTGGGCCAGGAGGCACAGCAGAAAAGAGCAGAAACAAAACCAAACAGAACGCCAGGCGGGAGATGATCCCATCTCCAGGCAGGCTTTTCTACCTCCCAGGGGGAATACCCAGCACATGGCCGGTGGGAACAATAGGCCTTCCTTTCTCCCCTCCCCAGCTGAGCGCTCTGGGGAGGAGGAGAGGGGGAGAGAGAGACCCTGTCTTCCTGAGGCTCTGCCTGAGTAGGGCCTGGACCCCAGGGGAAGCCAGTTTACAACACACATAATTGATGTTCTTTCCTTCTGTAGAGGTGAGGGTGGTGTCTAAAGCCATGACAGAAATAAACTGCTCTGCCTTGCTGGATGAGCAGAAAAAGTTGCTCATTTTTTAAAGGGGAAACATGAGAT